GTTCCCAAACTTTCTCTCCTCAAACTGCATTAGGAGATGAAGAACATCTGCCAAAGGAGCTGCCAAAGTGTTAATTTATATAAGCTTGAATTATGTAGAAAAGCTGTATGTTTTCAGGCATTATTAAGACTGTATTTTCCATTACGAATATATATTTTTACTGGTTTGCAAGACAAAGCAAGCATGATTAGAGGGGAAAAATATTTCTTAGGCACCAAATCTAAAATACAGAGCCAGTTTATGCACAGAATTAGTTCTGTGATGACCTGGACTATGGCTTAAGTCCCTCTGTAAAATTGGATATGTGAGCTAGGAAAAAAAAGCTTAATACTTGGGAGAGGAAATAGTGAATTTTGTTGCATTCAAGTTATTTTCAGTACTAAACTAGACTAAATGTGAGTTTTGTTTTGATTTCCAAGCTCCCCCCAGTCTAATCCATATTCTGTTGGCATGTAGTTTCAAGAATTAATCAGAAATAGTTTCTTTTCTGAAATTGATTTCTAAATGATACAAGAAAAAAAACCCCAAACAAATTATAAGAAAAGGTGTAACTGAAATTCTCTCAATGCCTCAGATGCATTCTATGTAAACATTGAATGTGGTATTGGCTCCTAAAGATTAAACTCACTGAAAAGAATCATAGCTTTTTCTGGAAAAGGACACATGCATTCTGCCAGTAATTACTTTTTGCAAATAAACTGCTTTGTCTAGTATTTCAAAAACAATATTACAGTCAACTAAATTAAAGGAAGAACTACTGCTTGGTTAAATACTATTTTTTAATAATCTTTGAACAAATAATTCTTGAATTACACTGCTAATTTAGATTAGAGAAGAAGCATAGCCTCATGGTATGTGATGGATGCAGCAGAGTGGCATACTGTTCCAAGATTCCCAGAGAGAGTATAAAACCTACTTTTTACTCTGCTGCATCATAAGACTAAAATGTAAGACAAAAAATATACAGAAAGACTGATATTTCATGAGGATGCCACAGAACAAACACTGTTTTGATGTATTCATTGGACATAATCATTTGCATGGACAGTGTGATTTCTTCTGAATTGTTTGTCTTTGAAATCCCTAGACATGCTGTGTTTTCATGAAAAATTACTGGTTTCCCCCGATTCGCCGCCAAATTGCTGTTACATTCTTTCAGCACTAACTGGATCATTACTAGTTTTTTTGTTTGCGAATTTTTAAGTTTTGCACTTTTCTGGAATGTGAACAAACTAATGAAACAGTAAGAAAATAAAAGTTAGTTGTAAAATATAATAGGATCAGTGGTTAGTGATCTTCATCGTAAACTTGTAAGTGAATGTCTCAAAGAAATAACATGCAAAAAAATGTTTTATGGCAAATTTAGCATGTATCTCAAACCTAAGATCTAGCGAGCATTTTCTGTTTGGCCTATATTTTTCCTGTTAATCTCCAGCATAACGGAGTATTTCACTAGAACAGAAGGATTTAGGTGGAATTAAAGTTTTCCATTTAAACCAAAAGTCTTATCCTTAAATTTATAAACTAATCTTTTAAACCGATTTAATTACTTAAAGTAGGTAAATAGAAAGACAATAGTATGTCTTAAACATTCTAATGCAAAGAGTTTCCTTATGTACCAATGACAATAAGTTTACATAAAGAAGATGGATCCAGCTATCTGAAACAGAAAAAAGCTCTTGGTACAAAGGATTTTGGAACTGTCCTGGTACAGCTCATCCATGCAACAGGTAGAAGATCCTCTTTGGGGTTTTTGTGGGTTTTTTTCCTTTTTTTTTTTTTTTTTTTTTAACAAGGATAAATAATTATATCAGAATTTCCAATTATTAAAAATTTTGAGATTCATGGAGTAATTCTCTATTGCTAAACAAAATTAGTACAGTGTTGATTAAAAGATTTACACACTGTTATAGTACTCCTGTATATGTGATGTATATTTAATAAAAAGTGAGGCATGCTGCTCTGGAACTTGGGAGGAGAAAGGATGTATGACAAAATTTAGGAAAGATTTATTTGTCTGGGTTAAACATTGAACTCAATATGGGACTGTTTGGATGTTTTGTTAATTCTTTGAAGCACATGCCGTAGTTATTTTAGAAAGAACACATTTCCCTCCAGGTCTTGGCCCTTCTCCTGTTTGCTTTCACTGCTGCTTGGGTGTTTTTGTGGGCCTCTTGAAAAGGTCGGAGAAAGCTTGAATTTCTTCCCTACCAGTCTCTGGCTGGTGTAGGATTTCTTAACTGCAGCCAGCAATCTCGGGACTGTTGGACATTTCTTGACTTAAAACATTGGCAGGTTGGAGAAGATGAGGAAGAAAAGTTGACTAACATTTCCTAATCATGTTTATAAAAATGTGAATGGGGCTCCACTGTTCTCAGGGGAGTTTATTATCATCACAAGAACGCTTGTTTCTACGGTGCTGTGATGAGTAGGAAGGAGGGTAGCCTGCTGAAATTTGGGCTGATTTGATAGAGAAGCTTAATAGTTTCTTGAGTTGTTATTTCTGGTAGTGCTGACTCTGGATCAGGAGAGGGACAGAAATAGGAAGTCCTTAGTAGCCTGTGTGCACCTAAGGGCCCAGTTAGGCCCATGTTTTGAGGTGCCTCTGGATGTAATTGCAGAGTGGCATGAAAACAGGTCCAAAGAAGTGGCAGAAACAAGCCAGTGTATCCTAGACATCTTTTGCAAACCTTGATGAAAGCCCACTTGAAAATGCTATCCAGCTGTTTGAAGGCATCTGAGACATTTTTCCTATTCTGAAACTTGAGTTCCTAGGAGAATGGCAACTTTTTTTCCTTCGTTCTTCAGAAAGTGTTAAGTTCTGATACCCTGAGACTGGGAAAAAAGTAACTTTGTTCAGATGTGACATCAAGGTGGATTGCTTTAGTCTTGGACAGTGGCTAGAAAAAACCAATAAGCTATGTTCTTTATGCTTACGCAGGTGTTTTGTATACATATATTTTATATATATATTATATTTTGTGTTATATATTTCATCAGAATGTTTGATAAGTATATCTGCATAGACTTGATTATTATAGAAGTTCTCATTTGCTTTAGCTGCGTACTCAGGCACCTCCTTCAGTATATTTCTGTTTTCTGTTCGGAATGCATTGATTTATGATACAAGGAATTCTCCGTATCTGAGGTGAGTTGTGTCTGGCCACTGTCTCTCCAAACAGCAGGGTTCAAATCTTTGATTTGGACATCCATATTCAAGCTGTGGTGGAATAAGGAATTTTTGCTCTAGTATTCTTTGTGCCAGTATGGGTAGTGCTTGGCATTTATATGGATGTTGTAGTGGCGTGATAGTTACGGATATTAGTTCTGTACTATCAGTTCTGGTGTAGGACTTAAGCCGTTTAAGGATCTAGTCAAAACTTTTGTGTATATCAGTCAAGTTAGCTGTTGAGTCTCTCCTTTTGGTACTGATGAATGCAAAGTTTGAACTTAGAAGCCTGTTGCGACTGCTGAAATATTGCATAGGTCACATATTGGGTGTATACAATAGCAGGTACATTGATCAGGAAATGTTTACTTCATTAGTTGCCAGCACCTGGGCCACTACCTTAATATGCTGTGTTTTTCTGTCTCTTGAAGCATAAAGTGAATTGTCTTAATATAACTAGAATCCAAGGTGGTGGTGAGAGTGAAATGTCCTGAAACCATAATTGGGAAGCACTGCGTACTGATTTGCTGAGCATCCAGCTGAATCACTGGCATAAGCTCTCGATGACCTCACGCCCTTGTACAGCATTATAGGCTTTTGGCAAAAGGGAGAAAAATATGAAAACACTTCCATTCTTCAAATTTTGCTGAACTGTAATACTTGATTGTGACTGAGTTACATTAAATGATTCACATACGGTTTAAATAAGTAGCCAAAGTAGTGTACCTTTCTTTTGACTGTTCTATTAAAATCTATTTTTTCTTTTATACCTGATATATGAAGTTGAAATGTCATGTGTCGGCTATGCTGGCTGTTACACCGGTTAGCAATTTGCCACACAACCCTCTTTTCATTAACTTATTTCTTTGGATGTGCCAGCTATTCAGGATCTAGTTTTCTATGCCAGGTGCCTGTCCCAGGCTGAAGTTTTAGAAGTTGCAGTTTTTGAGAATGACATGGAGGAAAACTACATGTCACCTAGCTAAACACACAGTTGTACCTGAACTGAGTGGCTGTTACTCCTGCTCTGGTTTGGAGTAAGGGCTTGAAATCTACAAAGAATTCTCAAGAGTGTTCCTTATATTGTATTCAAGACAATCCAGCTAAACAAAGTTATCAGCCTCCAAAATTCAAAACTCTTGGGTGGTTCTACTTGGTCCTTACACTGCTATGGTCCAGGTGACAGCACTTGCAGAAAGGCAGATGTCACTGTGCCTCTCTGGCAAGTAGGAACTGTAGTTTTGTCTGTAGAATGAAGAATTGTAATTCAGGAGAATAGAAAAAGGATTAATAGTCCTTTCCTGCAGCTTGTTTGTTTTTGTCTGGAGAATGACTAAGGGCTTAATTCTGCCTTCACGTATCCACTGCAGAGTCTCCCTGAAATTTGTGTAGTGGCTTTCAAAGTAAAACTACCAGTCAGTGTAAGATTAAGGGTATTTCGTTCCTCACTACTCTTCTACTTTTTAAAAATAATACGTGTTCCTGAGTTTGCAGAAAGGAGACGTGCCTGAAGGGCAGTAGATGCAGGAAGTTCAGATGGTAGGGTGTGAATTTCTAGAAAAGACTAGAGGAAAGGTCACTTTCAGACTGTACTCAGTCTAGCCAATAAAATTTCACATGCACCTAATCTATATGGTATGTCTTTCTGCAATAGAAGAATTGAAGAAAGTTGCTTTTGAATTACACATCCTGCAGGTATTGATCTTTAAGGCTGAGGCTGTGTATGCTTTGAATTTTGATGTTCCTCTCCTTTCTCTCTTTCTAGCTGGAATGCTTGCTGTGTTCCCTACAGGATTATAAGCTTTGATATTCAGAAGAGCAAAACTGAAAGATGCCATCCGAGAGGTGCCTGAGGTACAGTACTTGGCAGCGTGTAGGAAGTCATTCACATTTAGGATGATATTTACCAAAACTTCAGTTATCAGGGGGTAGAAAAGTGAAACTAATATTTTTGTTCATTAGGTAGTAATTCACATTATTAAATACATATCCATATTATAATTTGCAAAATACTACTTTCTTGTTACCAATTATCTGTAGCAGAGAGAAGAGTGCATGGGATTGATTTGGGACCCACAGTCTCTTCATATGTTATCTTGGCATTTTACAGCTGGCATTTTACATTCATGCATCTGAATTAGTGGCTGGTGTTTGGTTTTGGTGTGTATAGTGTTCCGCTATTCAGGACATAGGTTATTCTTCCAGTTCTTTGAAATGGCTTCAAATCATTCTTTCCAAACTCATCTTCCTGCCTTCCAGAGTCTCTTTCTCTCTTATAGAGTCTTAATCGTCTATATATACTTACTAGTCTGGCCTTTCTCATTTACTTGTATTGCCCATTGTCTCATCAGAGGATTTGATATTTATAATTTAATTAGTTTCTGGGAGCACTTTCAGGCAGAACACTCAGCAGAATTTATTAATCTAGTTGCTTTTCTGCAGAACCTTGCACTAGTCTGATACACTGGTAGTTGTTCTATTTTACAGAGTAGTTAACACTTGTGGGCTGATCTGTGAGCTCAGAGATCTATATGATATTACTGGAACATCATATCATCACAGTTCTGTTCCCCTTTCCCTGCCATGCTTCTGCATCAGAAGAGAATCAGGAATTCCTTGCATTTTTTAGCTGTTGAGTTTATCAGCTAATGATATCACTACAAAGTGGCCGTGTTATGTTTAATGAATCAATGCTTTTTCATTCATAAATTCCAGTTAAATTGCCTTGCACGTGTATACATTCTTTGTATGTTGTTAACACAAGGGTTACGGGCAATTGATTTTTCACTGTGATCATTGAATTGAAAAAAGGATTATGATAGAGCTCAATTTAAAACTACAGATGCCAGATTTTATGTATGTGTGTATACACTTACACACTTACACACATATGTATATATATAATTTCCCCACAAAAATTACCCTTGTGCCTTGTCCCTCCAATCTGCTCTCTATTGAGTGAAATAGTCCTTTTCTTGCGGAAAAGACTTTCACCTCTGGATAATGGTGAAAAAAGCGAGAGGAATGAAGGTCATGGTTCATAGCATTGGGAGAGAGACTAATAAAAACAGATATAAAGAGAAACCGTTTCTAGTTATAATTAGCTTACCATGCTTGGACTAGTTTGATTTAGTCACTTTGCCGTGGAAATTACAGAAAGGAAATAATTGTTAGAAGTAATTCCCTTGTATTTTAATAAGTTACATCTCTTGATAATTGTATTTTACAATATCAGTGGGGTTCCACAAACAGAACAGCTAAAGGAAAAATAATAATTTGAATGAATCATTTTGAAATATATGTAGGGTATGTCCACGTGTGAAGCCTGAACTGTTAGAGCGGGGGTGAAATTCAGATATAGGTTATTCCTGTGTAATTCTGCTTTGGCCATCTTCCTTCTAGAAGTGATGTCCTTTAGTTTCTGTCTTTTTAAAAGGCTAGGTTAGATTAGAGCAAACAGTCTGCAAGGCAGTTTACAGATGCCCAAGGTGGAGGAGTGGGACAGGCAGTACAGAGAGTGTGTGTTGATAGGAAAGGAGAATATAGCAGCCACATAGCTGTTGCATAGCATGTGTGTGGAGTGAATTACATGATTTTAGTGCAAAGATGATAGCTTATTTACCCCTTAATAAAAACCAGTGTACCTTCACCTTGATTTACTCAGGAATACCTTGGTATAAACACCTTCTATAAAGACCTAGATTCTTTGGCAATATAAATTGGTGTAGTCTCACAGATTTCAAATAAACTGCATTGTTTTGTGCCAAAGAGGATTTGCAGATTTGTTTGATTTGTTTCTGTTTGCATCAACAGTTACATTGTCTCTTCCTTCTGCTGTAGAAAAGGAAGCTGCAATCAGACAAACCTGGGCTGGGTAACATGGAAATCGTGTATTCATACAAGGAGATATTCAGAGCCTCAGAATTTTAAAAACAAGCAAACATCCTCCCCCAGTACAAAACACACAAACAAAAAAACCCCACAACACGTCGCAAATATGAATGACCTGAAATGGTCTGAAAACATTCGGTAATGCAGTATCAGACTTAAACGGCCACCTGAGACCATGAGTCTTCATTCTTTTTAGTAGGACTAGTTACATACATACATACATACTCCTTTCCACTGATGCATCAGCTTGAGCCACTTAAAATTTTCTGTTACTCCATTGACCTAGGCCTTTTATTCTTCTCACTTAATTGTAAAATGATTCTGAATGAATCCTGTGAGTCCAGTTGAATTCCAGTGCAGCAAATGAAAATCAGAAAGTTGAGGCTTTAAAACTTGAGTGTATAATCAGGTTTCATAATGCATTGTTGTACTAAGCTTTTCTTGTGATGTCTATACCATATAAAGGTTTTTGCCTGACAGGGTTCATGACTTTTTTCTTTCCAAGAACTATAAAATAATCTTGTCTTAAAAAAAGTTCTATATTACTGACAGAAATGCTTGTTTCCAACATTTTTTTGACAAAATCTTTCCCCTTTCCCCTCTCAGCATTCAGGAAATGCTGACAGGTCAAAGGCTTTGTCAGTCCAGCTCCCATAACAATGCTGTCCTGGCAGCCCTGAACCAACAAAGAAGTGATGGCATACTTTGCGATATCACCCTTATTGCTGAAGAGCAGAAATTCCACGCACATAAAGCAGTCCTGGCAGCCTGCAGTGACTACTTCCGAGTAAGTCCAAAGATTTTTTTTTTTTTCTTATAATAATATTAAAAATTACCCTGGGGTGTGGGTGTAGGGGTAGTTATAGATATCATACTGAACAAGCTTTAAATCTGAGCCTATGGAAAGTTCAGGATTATTGCGTATTCAGTACAGCACGCAATTTTAAATATCCACATAAGTATCATAGGAAAGAAATGTTAAGAACATAGTTCAGTTTTTTATCATTATTTATGATTAGTCTTCCTTCCCCCCCCAATAGAGATATGTGGTACCCATCTTTGTTTGAATCTTATGCCCCTGTAAAGTCAGTGAGTGGAAGACTTCTTTTTTTAGAACCCAGACATTTGAGACAGTCGTGATTGGAACATGGAAGGATGGGGAGAGGGAACTTTAATATTAATAAATGAAATTTAAGTCTGCTTGAGAGTTGATTTTTGTAGGAATGTAAATAGTTACTCTCAAAGAGGAGGCCATAGTAATTTTTTAAGCGTAATAAAACTTATTTTCAGAAACACGTGTTTCTGAAATGTGAAGATTAAAATATTCCTTGGGAAATCTAATTCACTCAGCATGGAAAATTGAACCCAGGTGCTAACATTGGAGTAACTGAAAAATTGAGTTTTCTAATAGGAAGAGCATGCTTCATATGAAGCAATTCTACTAACCTTCATTGTAATGTACCTGTTCAAAATGTTGGACTGTCTATAGCTTTTCAGTTGAATGGTGTTTTTAAGCATGAGTCATCCTGTTGTTGTTCAGAGACTAAAGCTGAAATTAACTTAAAAGGTCTGTGTTCTCTAACTAAGTTTATTTAATATTTTGCCTACGCTGTAATTGTAGTGTATAAACTTCTTTATGGTGACCTTTTTGTTTTGTTACAATAGTAATACAGTGTATGACAACTGCTCTACATTCTTAATTACCTGAGCAGAATTTTTATCTTCCTGTCAATTCTGCCTCTCTCTTTTGGTTAGAATTGAGACTTAATTTATTCTGTGTATTTAAGAAATATTGTTAACCTTGATGTTACTTTCACTGTGATGATGTTGAGTCAATTCATTGCTCATGTTTTGATTTTGTCTGCATGGTTATGCGTTCTGCTACTGCAGACTTTGTACTGCCATAGCTGCTAATGTTGCTTTGTCATGGTGCCCTGGCCTGCTGTAACGCAGATTGCTTACCATTTTTTCCTTTTACCCCAGTAAACAGAGTGGGATTTTGGAGCTCTCTAGCTCTAGCAAGTGCTATATATACTTTTTGATGATAGATATACTACAGGGCTGTTGCTTTGATTTGACTGAAATATTATAATAAGGGTGCCATATCATTCCTCCACACCTGTGACATACATTCCTTCCAGCGCTCACTGTACCCTGTGCATAGAAACATCATAGAGTGGGCAGCTATACCCAGTGCTCAAGCAGTGTGGTAGGAACAGCTTCTCTGATCATTTATCAATTGACCTTGAGATTTGGGGCACTGTGACTCACATTATTATTTACAGTTGAGTTACCTGGTATTTGCTGGACAGTTACTGCAAATTAAAATCTTAATGCCCTACAGAAAAGAAAAAAAAACCCACAAAAAAACCAAACCAATTTTACAACAGGTCAAATTCTGAATTGCTACATAAATATTTTCTAGTTAAAAAAAACTCAAGAATGATCTATACAGCATTTATTAATTTGAACTGCCTCAAAATTTTTATGATTTGCTAGGACATATTCTTCAGACTTTAAGTATCAGCTATAAATACAAGTCTTGTGCTTTCTGAAATCAGCCAAACAGTTTCTGTTATTAACAGACAAAAAGCTTTGTTAGAAAATTGTGGAATGAGATTTATGTTCTATAGGAAGATGGCAAAAAAGTTTCTGTGTACTATGTTCCTGATTCAAATAATTTAGAAAGAAGCAAGGGTTGATTTAAAAAGTCATAATGTTTTATATTTAAACTGAGATTATTAAAGTTCTTATATCTAGAGGGATTTTGCGTAATTTGAGCTACCTGAGTATTCATTTTCTAAGATTTAGGCAAATTACGCCACTTTTCATTCAGACTCAGTGAAGAGAAATGAGCATTTCCGGATGATAAAGGATAGAAGATTTATTAGAATGAAATGAATCGCCATCTGGAAGTGCCAGATCTCTCTCCACTGGTCATAAAGACTAGGCTCACATGCTTCAAACTTAGCTGTAACAGCTTGCCATTTCTTCCAGTTAGCACAGTTAGTCTTGTAGTTCCAGCTGTGCTGAAACATTGGACTTTAAATCCTAAGAATAGCACCTGATTTGGGATTTTGTTACATTTGTACACCAAAATAGTGTTTTCTCTTTAAGAAAAAAAATCCTTTAGGAAACTGTGTAGAAAGAGTGCATTAAAATACAGAGTTAAATTGCAAGGTTTGACACTTCAAAATTAGGTTTTTCAATTTTTCTGTTCAGCATCTCCTGAAGGACCTCTTCTTTCAAAATGAGCTAAGGAATACAGTACTCAGCTCCATACCCTAAACCACTCATATAAAGAATAGTAAACATATGTATCTTTACAAATTATTTTCTAAGCAACAAACAGCATTTTAGGCAAACTTTTCTGTATGACACGCTGCAATTTGTTATTTGTCTCAGTCTATTGCAGTAATACAAGGCGGTTGAGTTAATGATTATGTGTGCATTGTGATAGCTCTAGCAAGCTAAGTGATTTCCAATTAAAAGATTCTTTTTCTTTTTTTCCCCCTCTGGGAGCAAAATGAAATGTTACTGCATGACTTCATTAGTAGGCATTTACAGTGTTGGCAGGTGATTATATAACCTCAAGATTTTTCTTGTACAAAATGCATTTGGTTTCCAGTCAGAACAACTCCTTTTTTCTTCCTTATTTTTCATTTGAGTGGGTTCATAGTCACAGGACTTTGATCTTTCTCAAAAAGATGCAAATTTTCCATGTAATCTGGATGAACAAAATTATATCAATTAACTAGAATAGATTTTAAAATGTCAATAATATTCTAATTTTCTCCACAATGAGCATATTCAGTTCTTAGAAGAGTCTTTCTTCTCTGAAATGAACTAGTAGATATTAATTTTACATACAGACTTTGTACTTATAACTGTCACAGTTGATTATTAAGCAGTTTATTTTCAGGGGTTTTCTGTGCCATGTTTCCTCCCTGCCAAATGACAGTTTCTTTGTGTGTACACAACATCGCTGATAGTTTGTATTTTGCAATATATTGTGTTGTTTCTTGATAAGGTTAGAGAATTAATTTTTATAAACAAATTCCTGAGGTATGAAAGACTGTATGATGTAAATAGCTTTTGAGGTCTTGTTATGTGAATCATAAAGAGGAAAAGGCTCTTCCTAACATGTCTTAGGGATAGGTCTAAGGACCTAGTTCGGAGAAGTCAGAATTACTGCTGCTTTTGCAGGATAAGGTGATTTTGTTTTCTGTATTTTACTGTTGATAGGCATGTACCAAACAAACAGAATTTTCCTTGCTACTGTACCCTGGAAGTGATGCTACTTAGAAATTGTTTTTCCAGATAACATTTAAATATGTTAGCTCTTTCCATTGGACCAAATCAACTCTGTTGTTCTAGTAACATTTAGTCATTACTGAGACTTTTGTGCCAAAAGAGGCTCTTACCCTCACTTTTAGCTTCTGATGTAGGTTGACAAATATTTCGTCTTCTTACATGTCTAAACTTTTCTTGGGATCATTTAAATTTATTTTTCTAGTTGGAAATTATGATATATTTGAGAAACTAAGCTATTTAATCTGTATTAATTGCCTAACAGCTTTGGTAGATCTCACTCACGTAGATTCACTCTATCACTTAACATCGTTTCTAAACTAATGCTTTTTTCATTTTTCCCAAGCATATATTTGTTAAATGCCATAGATGCCTTTTTTTTTTTGTTTTTGTTAAATAATTACTGCAGGTCCTTTAACTCAAATCATTCAAAGTATACCCTTCATAAGGATATTACCTGCCTGTAATAATTACCTAGCAGTAACTTTAAGTGAATTCCCATATACCTGTTGTATAGCTGCAACTTGCATCCAAAAGCAGTGTTTTACTGAATTTGAAACCTGAAGTTCTAAGTTATACCAACCTTTTGAACAAGACAACAAAAAGAAGGAAATGCAGTTGAACAACAGATTCTGCTTCAGTTGATGGAACTGGATGGCTCTATTGTTCCATGCAGGCCGTTGTCCATTATGAGTGCCCAAACTCAGGAACAGTTCCCAATTGCCCTACAGAACTTCAGAACAGGATATAATAGTCTCATTTACTGCCATACCAGCAGTTTTCTTGTCTAAGACCTTTCATAAAGATGTCTCTCTTAAATATGCTTTATAGTGAGATAAAACTATTTTCTTCCCTTCTTAACCCTCTTTTTAATCTCTTTTGGGTGTTTTCATGCATCCTTCCTATATAAGAATACTAACTGCAAACTTGGGAAAGAAAATACTCTTAGTAGTGGTTCCAGGCTTGCAGTTACTGACCTCGTAGTGTTCACTGCTATACGGTGATGCTGTAAGAAATATAAGGAATATTTCAGCATGCTGTCTAACTGTTAAGCACTATATTTTAAATCTTCTGCATGTGAAATCAGCCAAATGTGTCCCAATACACATGGTTCTGTGTGATGCCAACAATGCAGAAGATATTTGAAGATCCATAGTATTGTCTGGTGTAGTGGACATGTTACTTATACGCTGCCTGTTGAGAAATGAGAACTCAGTGCTGCTTGCTTCTAACTGGAGGGAAAAAAACATGCCTGAAAAAAGAGGTCTGGAAAAAATAAGGTGGGTTTTTTTTTTCTTTGAAACATTGTCCTCTGAGCATAATATAGAGGTTTAAATACAAATTAGGTTTTGTTACTAATTATTCAGTAATTCAGTTACAATTGAATGTCAAAAAACCAGCACATTCCTTCCCTTCTTAAAATAGTTTGATATAGACATTGTCAATAGTTTTATTAAGTTTAACCAAATTTTTATG